ATATCATTTTTCATATTTTGCCAATGATTTCCATTTGTTTTTACGTATTACTCTTCGCGTTCTTTCATCCGACAGCCATTTTTCTTTAAGTTCCTCTCTCTCTCTCTCTCTCTCTCTTTCTCTCTCTATTTCAATGTCATGGACTCCTCCCGCCCCTCCTCTTTTATCTCTCCTCTTCTCTTCTCTCTCTCTCTCTCTCTCTCTCTCTTTCTCTCCCTTTCTCTCCGTCTGTCGATAGAATATGTTCATGTCGATGGTTTACAAAACTGTACGCAGGAAGTTATTCAAAAGTTTTGATGAACTCGGAGAGCATACACTACTCGTTCGAATACCATAAAAGTAGTTCTAAATGAAAGTAGAATATTTCAAAATAAAAAAAATTGAGTAAACGCAAAAACATATTGTATTAATTTTGTGATGGTAGAAAAATTTGGGGGATATAGAGCCAGCATACGCCCTAAAAAAATGTCCCCTTATCTTTGTCATCAAAGAACAAAATGCTAACCTTTTTTTTTTCAACTTAAAGGCAAGGTTTTTTTACCGACATCGCTGCTGTTAATGTATTTTCCTTTGCGCCATGTTTTGCTTGAGGCGCGCTTAGAGCGATTTCCGCTTCCTGCATCATATCATCACGCGCGAGTCATGCAGTATAGGTGATGCACTGTGGGACATGGCTGTCGACAAATCGGGACATTGTAAGCAGTAGATGGCAGTATACATAAATCTGAAGTAGTGTCAGTACAATATCATTCCTTTAAGAGGTGGCAACGTTACATGAAATGCATATTAGAAGATCTTGAGTTTTATCATGATATACCATTCCCTTTAAATAATTCCATATCAAAATGCAAAAAACGATACAATTTTTGCCCATCTGATTATACAGACATATTTGACCTTTCGCAAGCAGATCAACTTCACCAAGTGTTCTTCCGAAAGGACAAGAGTCCTTGTGGCTTGTGGGCTCCACTAAGAGCTCTTGAAGTCTGTTAAGAGCTTTTTCGTTTTCGGTCTCCGGATCAATATGCTCATATCGTCTTCGAGACAATTTTTCGTATAAGTGTCTCTGTTTTTAAGAAACAATATGGTCTGGTGACAATAATCTCCGCGTTCAATATCCTACACTACTGGCTATTTCGGATATGACGCCGTAAAACGCGGGTTCTTGCTTATGATATAAAGTGTAAATATGCTTCATATTTTTGTATTTTATAATATTGAATTCAATGAATAGGAGCAGGGCCTTTGTTGCCCGCAATTGCCATTTATTTACATGATTTAAACAAATCCGGCGGGTTTTTTAGCGGCATTTTACCACGTCATATCCGAATAAGCCTTAACCGAATTCTTAACTCGAACTCTGGATCAAATACTACACGATATACCTAACCCTAACCCTAAATTAAAACCCAGCTGCAACCCGATATTTGGACGAAATAGATACTGGATTATTTGTCGGTGGCGCATTCGTCGCAGCACCATTTTCCCCATCACGCTGTAAAACACTGAAAATGCACTCACAAACTAACATCGAGTTCAATGTCCTTTTTTGGTTCCCTCTACAAAGAAAAGTAGATACCGATCTTTACTTTAAACACTCGAGTATGATATCAATACACAATGCACCACTTTATCAATTACTGCAGACATATTGATAATACGAGTATCGTTGGGTTTTTGTTGTGGTGGGGGAGGGATCAATATATTCACTCTATGCCGAATTGACTATTCTGATATTGTGCATTATCATGATTATCTTACTTTCATATCCGATTCCAATACAAGCAATGTGAAGATAATTAGTAGGAGAAATTTAAAACTAACATTCTTGCACTCGTACCCATCATTCATTTTTTTTAAAATAGTACAGAGACACCTTTTTGCCATTAGTGGTTGATCGAAATTTGCACCCGTCGCTGATTATGCGTCTCATGAAGGAAAAAAGGCACGTCTAGACATTTCTAGGTGTGCTCGAAAGTGAGAATCCCTTTGAAGAAAATTTGATTAATTTTTCTCACCTCACTTGTGTCTTTTTTATATTCTCGGACACGGTGCAGAACACGGGACCCATGTCTTGAAATTTGATTTCAATTCAGAGGAAAATAGACGTGACAATCGAGAAGCAATCATTCTTGCAGTCGTGATTTGAAATTCTAGACGGTTTTCTGCTTTTCAATTCTCCCGCTCGCCATTCCCTTGATAGATCCATATCGGCCGATATCGTACCGGGCCATCGCGTGATGCTGTATGCCGACCGGAGAAGGACTAGGATAGATCCTTGCCCCTGATCGTACTTTAGACGAGAAAGAGAGAGAGAGAGAAAGAGAGAGAGAGAAAGAGAGAGAGAAAGAGAGAGAGAGAGAGAGAGGGAGAAAGAAATAGAGAGCGAGAGATAAAAAGGAGAGAAGGAGAGAGGAGGAGAGAGAAATAAAGAGAAAGGGAGAGAGAGGGAGGGAATAGAAGCAAGGTAGACAGATATAATATCTATATATAGGTAGATAGATGGATTAAGGGAGAGAAGTGGAGAGGGAGAAGGAGAGGGGGATTAATAGCATAGAAACTTTATAGAGGAATTTGGGTGGCGCTTCACCCAAACACATACGGACATAGACCAATCAAAAAGCAGAGAACTAAGTGCGAGAGAGTGATTCGGGGAGAAAAAGGGATAGAAAGAGATTCATACGAGATGGAGGAAGAAGTGAGGATGGGAGAAAGAATGGATAAGAGATAAAGACTAGATAGTAATGGAGACGAAGAGAGTGCAATCTACTGTCTTGGGAATGTAACCAATCTGGTAAAAAACAAAGAATTTTGCTTGTTTCGGTCGGATGGAGAAAACGGGTGGGGGGGGGGGGGTTAGTTTGTTGCAACGGCGATGGAAGGATGAAGGATGGTACCAGAGCAGCGAGGATGCGCCGCGATGGTCCCAGAGGAGCAATGGGGGAAACGCAATATTTTCACTAATGAACTACGGGGAGAGTTCGATGGGAGACGATAATGAGAAAGAAGATATGGTGGATCAGGGAAATGGAGAAGGGTTGGAGGAGGGGGCGTCGCCAAGTAAATTTGAAGTGGGGGCGAGTGAATGAATCAGTTTGCTCGCACACCCTCTCCCCCCCCCAAAAAAAAAAAAAAAAATAATAATAATAATAAATAAAATAGGTGATATTATTTTGTTAGCGCACAAGTGGTAAAAACTCTTCAATTATTATTACGATGACAAAAATCTAATTGAGGGTACACCTTCTTTTCCGACCAGTTTCTTCCTTCTTTTCATTAAGGGTGGAAAAAGGCAGCAGAAAAAGACGTAAAACATATGGTCAACAGTGTTTAAAGATAGGGGCGTCGCTAGCATTATTTTGAATGTGGACGTCGGTCATAATATTCAGCAATTTTGCAACCAAGAAACCCCCCCCCCCCTTAAAATAGTACCCACATTTGAAATTAGCCAAATTGGTTTTTCCTTTGACCAACATTCGAGCACCTACACCACCCCCCCCCCCCCCAACCTGGATATTAACTGCAGTATTTCTCGTATGCACTAACATTTGTTCTAGCTACACTCCTCATAAGAAACCGTGCACAATTTATTGGGGGTGTCACTTGATCTAATATCCTTTTCCACTTTTAAAAGAAGATCCCCTTTAATAGTATAGTTTATTTTTATGAAAGAGGATAGAAATTACACAATTTTTAGACCAGGAAAATTGCGTTCCCATCAATTTCTATTATAAACGTCCATAATAACTGCAAAATATATCTGAGTTTCGGATTTTTCCTCAAACTTTCACTGACCTATCTTCCTAATGAATTTGAAATCAGGATGCCTCTCCTCTTCGATAAGACCGAGTCATTATTAAGAAAAGAGAGCAGGTAATGATTTACAGGGAATAGGGTTCAAGAAAAGTTCGAATTGAGGGCAGAAGCTTATTCGGTGTTAAATTGGTTACATGAAGGTTCGGGATTCCGAAAACGAAACGGGTTTTTGTGTTAGGTGTGCTTTTGTTATTGTAATATTTTTTTTTCCTTTTAATAATTGATAATAGATATTGTATGATTCAAATAGTCTTATTTTCAAAAGATATATGTTTAATTTTATATTTCACATGTATGTACAATTTTTAATTATTGTATTATTATACTTATGTTTTTATATTGTCATTTTATTATGCAGGGCTTTCTTGAAAAGCAGATCCACTGGCTTCAAGTGGAACTGAATGAAACTACCCTGTTGAAAGAAATCATGAATAAATAAATAAATAACCCTACATCATTTGCGGAATTACGAACCTTCGGAAAATAAACCCTATTTCGACCCGGGAACTATAAACCCTATTTCCTTTTTGGATTTTTAAACCCTATAAATTTGTATTTTAGCCTTGCAAACCTTCTGAAAATGACACCTCTCGTTAGGTCTTCCCATGTTTTGTGATTTGAAGCCTTTGGTATATCTATCCCTTGATAATTACAATGTGGCCCGGGAGGTGTTGTGTGGCAAACGAGTTTAATGATGGGATTTGTCATGAGATCTACCGGTAACTGAGCAAGTGCCTCGTGGGAGCGACCGGGGTATTAAAAGGAAATCCAACCATGATTATAGACAATTATTTTGAAAGAGAGCAGAAAATCGAAGAAGCAGCAAATCAATTAATGATAATATCCTATTTTTGGTTGCGGCTCATTCTCGAGCCCCTTTAAGGTTTTAAGGGCCTCCACCAATACATTTGTACAAAAAACATACACTATTGTAGCCGTCAAGGAGTTCTTTTCCAAGCGCAGGCCTCCTCCACCCCACCCACTAATTCCAGAGCTCACGGACTTGAGCTACATACATACAACACGAAAAATCACGTAAAAATGATGGTAAAATGTAAACCGTCAACTACGAAAAGCAAGCACGTCATGCGCCGCGCGCAGACGATTTCTACAACCGCTGAAAAGCTCGGCAAGGTGATAGTGCTTTATCGTCGATACGTTAGGTCATCGCACTCGAACGCGAGCAACAGTCGGCAACGGTCGTACATCTGATGGTACTCCGTAACAACCAACCGACGAACTAAGGATACTAGATTGATAACGGCGTGTTACAGTGTGGATTGGTGCTTTTTGCAGAGTGGATTTTACTTGCGTTTTTAAGAGTAAGTATACGTCCGCGCAATTCAGTTTTATTTGGGTTTAGATTTGGAATCGCATTCCTGTTTTCATTTTCCCTTCATTTACTATTTGCATTTAAATGTTCTTGTTTTATCCTTTTTTGTCTCAATACCTCGCAAATCATGTGTTGTCCATAAATATTCTTCTTACAGAGGGTTATGTGTTTATTTTTTGCTCTAGCTATGTTGGAGTTGCTTCAGGGGGGGGGGAGAAGTAGGTCACATAAAGTTTGATATCGATGGTTTCTGCTCTTATTCTCTTAGATTTCAACCTCAAACCAGCACATCACCTATGTATTCCCGTAATCGGTACTGGATAGCACTAAAACAGAACTTAATATTTTATATATTATTATTTTAATGCTTACATGTTTTGTTTGTATTGTTTAGATGTACATGTATTTGTATTAGTATTTTAATTGTATTTGTTTCATGGCCCCTTTGTAAACCATCCTGGTTTCTGAAGTTGGGGGTTTTTCTGACAGTGTTTTAAATAGAAGGATGAATCAATCGTAAGCATTTTACCATTTTAGCTCGAATCGAGTGCCAGTATAATCAAGAAACTGTGACTGATTTTTTTATTTTATTTACTTAGCACACTGTTTGGTATTGAGAGAATGAAGTTGTAAAAAAGTAAAACATGGCATTTCTAACATCACATACATGTACGGTTTCTTTTTTCTAATACTTATTCGATATCTAAATTTTACAATTTCGTAAATGTCTTTAAGATATAACTTGGTAAAAAAATAAAGTATTTCTAGCGAACTTCTTCATATCCACGTCGATTCATGTTATTAAGATTGAATTCATATTTGCAACTGTAAACGACTTGGATGAATAAATTAATAAAGTAATAAATGATTAAAAGAAACACATTAGCCCCCCCCCCCACCCCCCCCCCCCCCGCCCATCATAACCCAACCCCTAATACCCTATACGCCAATCTCGCTTATCATTTACTGAACTGGTTTAATAGCTTTATCTCTTACGCTATTCCTAGAGTTTATCCAATGCTGTATGATGTTTCCCTGGCTAATGCGATATGATCAATCCAAATGTCACTGAGAGAAAGCTTCTCATCTTGAAAGTAATACGTGACATTTTCAAGTCATGTATTTATAGCCCATTTTATGACCAAGTGGCTGACTATTCCACCCCCAGCGTTCGAAAGGAAATGATGCCTGACTTATACGAACATCAAAGGGACATCCAACTTTAAGAGCCAACTTCTCTAAAAGAAAGGAGAAAAATGAAAAAGCAGACGGGTGAATGTCTGAATGAAATCGAACACAAATTCAGAAGGTATAACAAAACATTATAAAGTTATAATCAGTAAACGTGGATGGCCGCTTCAAATTGGCTGAATATGTAATCTCACTGTGACGTACTGCTGGACAACGTTACCATTTGTCACAACATACAATATGAAAAAATGTCAACAACAAAAAATGTATGACTTAGGAGGGTCCTTTTTTTACAGGACCTATATATAATTATATGCTTTCCATAATATATTTGAGTAGTGCCCCTAGGGAGAACGCATTTGGAAGAAAAACATAAATTAAAGGTAATACAAAGTTTTGGGAAATTTTGAAAATTGGGTGGATAGTGATTCTTTACAATTTTGATATATTTGGATGCCCCTGTAGATGTATGATAAGCACTAAAACATTTAGCTCCTAAAACCCTTCTGCTTTCGAGAAAAATTAAATATAACAATTTACCGGTGCTCCCGGTAAATTTTGTCAAATTTTAAATAGCGCCTTCGGCCGTACAATGGTAGCTGCGACCATGAAAATCTCAGAATAAATTGTAGTCGTGATATTTGATTTTCAAACGGAAATAGCTAATCGGTCGATTTTAGTCAAGAAACATTGTTTTAGAGTGTGTGTGTGTGTGTATTGGGTTTTTACAGACGTGTATCAATCAGATATGATTATTTACGTCTGGGACCGACCTTTAAACGTCACCATCCGAAAGACGTGACTCAGTTTCGAACCTGCGTCCTCGGCTGAATCAGTTTGTAACTTCCACTTTTTAGCTGGATTACAGGCGCACGCCACAACGCCTAGTTAGAGCTTAATTAATATCTTGACCTGGAGAGGGAGCTATACAACATAAAACGTTTATTATTTCATAACTTGAGACTCAATTTCAACCGCGACAACGATTACTGAATATTGTAGGATCGCATATGCTTCCAATATGTTCATTTGAACCAAATTCATGACCCCATACCAAAACTTTGTATTACCTTTAATGATATTTTTGCACGACAAATGGGAGAATTGCCCATGACTACGTTGCAATCAACTGACCAAAATGACAATTTGATATTTGCATAGAGTGAGTGATATCACATTTCAAACGTTCACAATATTCTTATCATTGATCGGATCTATTTCAAACTTTCGCCTTTCTGTTTCTCTTTCATTTTCCTGCTTACACACAATAGAAATTATTGCAAAGGTTTAGTTACCTTTGATATAATTGTACGCTCGCTATATATGGTTGTTGCACGCGCGGATGCATGCGATCGTTCATTTTACCCATTTACGTTTCATTTAAAACACTCTCTCGAAGCTTTTGACATTTAGTATACTCAAGCTATGTTTAAGCCTATTCTTTGTTCCACAATTTTCTATGTGTAATTCACGCGATCATACAACTTAAAATCTTTGAGTATGATGATCATCTTAAATATAAATCAACTCGATGAAAGTATTTTGTGTAATCCTGTTTTTGTCCACTCGAAAATTAATCTAATATCTTTGGCCACACCCAGCTCGTCTATTTTCCACTTTGATTATTACTCTTTCTGATGATCATTTTAGTCATCAGACCCTTGCTTTCTTTTTTTTATAAATACACCAAAATAGATTTTCTACCATTAAGAGGATGTTTGATAAAATGGCAAGTCGACAAATTAAACAAAGGAAATAGATAGAGTAAAATACAAACTAGGCAGTGGTTCATCCAGAAGAGTTTGTAAGCTGGGGCGGAATGAAAGAAGAATTTACCTCTCGACTATGAAGCATTATCATGACATAGAAAGTAAAACAACGTTTCATTTGATATAACATTCATTGCTGTAGGCCAAATAATATCGTCTTGCAGTACAATAAAGGGACTCTACTTCGTCAAAATTACGACTTCGTCTGCTGCCCAAGGAAACTCCCATTTTGTCGAAATTTCCCTCCAAAACTTCCGGGTTGTGACGTATTGCACGGAGAACTGATGTAGCGCGTAATATGCGATACACGTCAATCATGGTGTACTGCTAACTGTTTGGTTGTAAGTATTGTTCCTCGAAAACTATGGGGAAATCGTTTCATTCGTTTCCAGACCCACACAATCGCAATGAAATATTCAAGCTATGGGTAGCAGCTCTAAAGGTGGAGAAATGTCCGGACACAAAGTACAAGTTACGACATGACAAACGATGTGATCTGCAAGGATCATTATTTGTTACAGTTTTACAGCAGAGAAACGTACGTGCGCAATAGCTGTCGTCTCCATGCTATACGTCACAGGACGTGCCGTGCGCAAACACCATGGCGACGTCAAAAAAAAAAAGAAGAGCTACGTCCTGCCTTCGTCAAATGTACAATGTTTTATGTTCAGAAAATGTTTTAAATGGCCTATAAACTGAAATTAACATGCAGTCTGAATGGCAGCCCACTTTGCCGTAGACCCTACTGCACGATGCATTGATTTTCGCTGAGGAGGAGTGGCCCGGCTTCGAAAAAGGACGGACGCCAGCTTTATCTTTAATACGCTTGATACGCCACGTTTGTAGGCCAAATGGGATAAGATGGCCTGCGAAACCACCCCCCCCCCCCCGATCAAAAAGTAATATCCCGCTTGTGGAAGAAAAACAAAACCGTTGCGCAAGAGAATTTGATTAATCGTAACGCTGATCAAAAAGATATTGCCAAGTCGCAAATCAACCCTTTGAAAAAATTCGCCGATGCTCTTCTTCAGCTATTTGCAAATGGCTGTCTCCCCGAGTCAGTGACGGATGTATCATATTTGAGAGGTAAATAGCCGAAGAGAAAGGAGATGATTATACTGATATTCGTGCGGGAATTGCGATATATTTGCTGCGTTATACTGGAGTAAGAAATTGAACCGTGTGACTGGATGGCGCCGAAAGCATCGGTATATCCGGATTTTGCCCGGATTTTTACTGCGGTTGTTGTCGTTTCTTTGATCGGGTTAGAAGTATTTGGAAGGAAGTCTTAATAATGTGTACCCGCAGTGTATGATGCATGGCACTTCCTGTATTAAAGAAACACACAAAACAATGCAAAATACAAAGCCTGCCTGATGGTGTTAACCTCTGTTTTGTAGATTAGAAAAGAAGAAGGAGGAAAAAAAATCGAATCTGCCTAACAGATCGTGTCCAATAAGAGAGAGAGAGAGAGAGAGAGAGAGAGAGAGGGAGAAAGAAAGTGACAATGTTATAATTTCAATTTCAAATGGGAAATGTGTCATTTCAACCATACGAAAACTTACTGTCAACAATATGGTGTCATACACTGGCGCTGCATCAACTATCTGAAGACTTTGAATACAGTTTCATGATTTAAGGACAAGTATGTTTATATGTTACAGGAAGACCCTCTCAAATTCACAAGATGGCGTAACAGGTGCCGGTTTTAGTTGTTTGGTATTTTATTCTAAGGGGTGGGGCTTCTTCCCCGGGCATCATCTCTCTTCCCGTCTCGTATGTCTTTGGAAATATCCAAAGTTTCAGGGTGATCAATTTGAGTGATTGAAGAAATTTCATATCCATTTAATCGGTAACTTTGTATATTAAATCCCCACTGCACTACTTAAAGCTACTTGCGCCCTCTATATAGCAAACAATGCCTAATCAGTGACCATAATTGGTCCTCCATGGTCCCCCTTTTCTATGTTAATTGAGAGCTGAGTTGATGAGATGACCACCTGTCAGTGACCCTGCAGGGAGGTCTAAT